TTTCCTGATCGCCATCTTGAAAACCAGTTGGATACTTGGACCACTTAGCACGATCACATTATTTTTTTAAAGATAGCGACAGAGTGACTGGCTACGTTTTAGTTGTTAAGTTGAGGGGCAGATGTTTTACTTAGGAAACAATAACGTTGCTTGAAAATACGATTTAAAGTGAAGTACAGCATGCTTCTCAGTAGATGTTCGTAGGAATCTGTCCCATTTTGGAAAAGTATTCAGGACTCGCGAGCATTGTCCTAACGCATTGAACGTTCATAGTCCCAACGGACGTTTTAAGCTGAAGTCAGTTGATAACTGTAATTAACGAATGAAACCGCAGCTATCCAATACAAACTTGCTTGAGTGAAATTATTCAGAAAAGAGCGACCTCAATTACCGTCCTTCTCTATCAAGTAAATTGTACTTAACAGAGATACGCTGCGGTCCTAACACGTAACTTTGCACTTCCTTTATAACTGAAATTCAGTCGCTCCTTTTCTCTATAATATCAAAGTTTACTGTTTTACGCATGAGCTTTGTTCTTATTCACATTCTTAACATAGCTGGAGCTATGTTATGAATTGCGAAAGAATCTTGAGCGCGAACATTTCAAATATGTAGATTTAATTAAACTTGTTAAATAACCTCAATAGGTAACTATGGGAAGTTAGAATCAAACGATTAGCTAAATCGTTTCTTTATAAGTCTCCTTGACAAAAAATCTAAATTCAACGACATTTTCAACTTACAAATTGTGCGGCTTTAGAGAATGAAACCGGCTCTGAGTTATTAATTTAATATTCGAGAATGAGTCTCAAACATTTTCAAAACTTTAATGTCATGTCGTGATCTAGAGCACAGGTGTATATTACAGTTACTCAAAACTGTAAGTCAAAAATTCCTAGGCCTACTGCAATGCTAAGGAAGGTTTCTACTCAGGTTTTATAGTCTTACAACGCATTTACCGTAGGCTCCAGCGCAGATCGAGCTTACAGTTATCGTTGACACAGAACTATCAATACCCGGAGAATTTAGTAATTGCAATGAGGACGAAATGCAACTTGGCGAGGTATTCATTAAAAACCACTTAATAGTTCCATATACAGAGAGAACTAAAATAGAGTAAAGAGAAAGAGGATGACACCTTACTTGTGAATTAACATCGACTGTTTCCTTAAACAGTACTGAGTCGAGGACCCATTCCCTGGCAGCGGAAAAGTAATGGATGAATGACACGTTGAAGCGGTCAGTTCCATAGTTAGCCGTCATTACTTTTCATGCTCGGGTTCAAATTCGTCGGAATTTGAATTTAGCTCTTCACTTATGTTTATTTGTTCCCTTGAGGATGAAAACCAAGACGACGTACCTCCCGAGAGAATTGTCGAGTTTATATAAAATTTAAGTTTCTGTGTGTTCAACCGAAGTAACAATTGTTTACAAACAAAAGAATTAACTAGTAAACATCGGACGTGAAACCATTCAAAGTGCCGACGTGACGTCATAGCGTATTGTCGTGCTTTGCATCAGGGATAATGTGTACCACTGGTGCGGAAATGGGCTGAAAAGCGGAGGCTAGTTGTGCTCTTAGCAAAGATATGTGAACTTATGACATACATCGGTTCCATTGTGCAAGAACACTGATTTCGCAGAAAGCGGCATTCCTTTAATCTACACTGGCGAGAATAAAGAGTTTGCCTATTAACAGCCTACGTCTCAGGCTTGTGGCTAGCCTATTCACTACGATTTGCTTTACCTACTGCCACAAGAAGTGGGTCGATTTTCTGGGTCAATGTACTTACAAAATGAATACGACAGGAACAACATTTAGAGAGCTCACAAAACAAAGCTAAATGCATGTATGTCGGCAAGATACATATTTTTCGACGCATGTTTTGGAACTGAAAACCTTGTACCAATAAACGAACAGAAAGACATTATACCTAATGCTCTTTTGATTGACTTGTTACCGTCTACAATTAAAAGTTGTTTTACATGTTTCTAAAAAACGTCCATCTTTTGCTGACGTGCTGTTGACTGGATAGCTTCAGTTATGTCAGTAGTTCATATTGAACAACGAAGTCGGTTCGTTTTAAGGAGTAAAGCTAATAGTGATGCGTGCAATATGGCCACTTCGCGTGTCGGCGTACACCTTCTACCCTAAGTCAACAAGATAACCGAATGTTTTTCCTCTTTTGCCGATTACTCACGTACGAAACCATCTACAGTATGCTAATGATAACTAATTCTATGGCCATTGGCTTGTTCCCTGCGAAACTGATGACATCCGGTGTTAATATAGGCCTCCCTTGTTTTCCAATTGAATAGAGCAGGATCGCGCCGTTACAGGCGGTTCGCGCTTTTGACCTTTTATTTACGAGCTTTATAGAACAATCCCCCGGGGGGGCGGGAATCCCAAAAAAAAGGACTGGGGTGCTCGTCGGAAATTTTGACAAGAACCCCTGAGAAGTACCAAGATCCCGTTTTGTGGGCGTAGCTTGAAGTTTTTTTCTCCCCTAAGAGGTACGAATTCTCTCATAACACATCATCTCGTGTCATATTTTTTGAGCTCAATACAATAAAAGGTACCGCAAAAGCTCCCGCTCGGTGTGGACCTTCTGAGGCTGAACATCCCAAGAGGTACCAAAACCGCGTTTTTAACCTCTAAAAGGTACGACAAGCACCACCGTCCTTTTGATAAGGAAGAGGAAGTCCCCCCCTCCCCGGAGAACGATAACCAGAAAAACACATGAAGCCTGCAATTCAGTTTTGAGTTTGTCTTTAACGATCAAACTCAAACTTTCTCACAAACATCTTAACCTGCCTTGTGCCTCTTTATTTTATTATCACATTTTTTGGTGTTTTTCTAGGAATAATTTTGAAGTCAACGGCATCGATAGCCTGTAAAGAGACGGCTCTCTGAATGGCTTACATGACAGTTACCTGTTAATTACTTCGGCTTCGTGAAAGCCGGAGGAGATTATTGCTAATAGTGTGAAACGCATTTGAGTTCATCAGTGGTTTGAACAAGTCCCAGTGAACGTTTTCAAGGTTAACCGTTTTCTTAGAGTCTTGCAAGTTATCAAGTGATATTGATACCTCACTTCCTCTTCGGTTGAAGCGTCTTGGGGCTGCTACGCTCGCTCTTCGATTCGCATGTACTGCCACTACGGAATCCCGCCGACCAGGGCGATACGCGGGCGCAGATATCTTGCGTCGTGGTTCATCGTGATGCTTCACTGGCTGCATAAAAATTAACAAAACGAGAACATCAGAAAAGTTAAATAATATTAGATGCTTTTCGTTGTATAAATAACTTTTGCACTTCTGCTGATTCTGTGCTCCGTTGGCATTTTCGGTCCCGAGATGGCACAAAACCCTTTAATTAAAATTTGTAATTAAAATCACCATGATCAAGAGAAAATGGTCTCTGCCATGATGCATAGCCATAGAAAGGGCTTTTATTTGTTATTCAAAGTTTGGCCAGCACTCTCTTAAAATATTAAGTTAAGTTTAAATTCCCCACGTTTTGGCAGCAAAAGATGACGTATACCCGACTGTGATGTTCTAGGACAAAGAAATTAAGTATGTTGTCTCTTAACCTTTTCCTTGCTAGAGAAACGTACTCCTATACGGTCTTGTAGCTAATGGCAAACAACCTCCTTCACATTTAGAGAAGTAAGTGATGTTTTTTAATGATTGCCAAGGTATGCTTATAATAACTTAACAAAGTAAATTGTTTTGTGGCCATTTGAATTATATAATTAAAGATATTAAAATGCAAATTTTGGGGGTCATTTGATCATATTTTAATAAAATAATAACCTTCCTCGAGACTAAAACCAAAAAGCATACATGCATATAGACCTTTCACTCAGTTTTTTTATCTCAAGATCAAGAGTCCCTCAGGTGTTCGACGTTAACACTTACAAGGCCTTTCCTGCACCCTCAATTTGTTTTAGTTCTATCGCGCTGCAAGTTTACCTGCATCTCTGGCGCTCTCGAAAACCCGAAAGGGCAATACTACACAGGCAAATAACTTTAACCTGTTAATCAAGAAACCAGTACAACTGAATTAGTGCTCAAATACGCGTTGTTTTGACGCAAAGTAATGATTTCTCGCTGTTGTAATGACCTTTAATGCTCGCGTCCGAGATTTATGTCTGATAAGCATCACAGAGCCGTAGCTAGTAACAGCCAAACCGAGGCACTTGCTTCACACATTTTTTCGTTTTTGTTGTTTCTAGTCATTATAAACACCCTTAACACCTAGGAAGAGAATTTAACCATGTGCACTGCCTCAGTCATTTTTCATTGACGATGCCTCAGTCATATTTTTTTTCTGGCTAGGACCCCGCATCATCATGGAATGTGCTCTCAGCGGAACGCGAGTTTCATTCACATTGTCGACTTTCTACTGATTCGATTCGTAGATAGAATCTATAAAGATGTAGCCCTGTCAAGGTGTAGTACAACGAACTACAATGAACCGCCATAATCAGTTAAAAAACTATTAAATGCCAGATAGAACTTTGACGATCACATCACATTTGGTTTGCTTCGAATATACAGACCGCACTTATCAGGGAAAAAAAAACATAAAAAAAGGAATAAAAGCCATTTCAAGAACATTTTCAGATCCTGATACTCTTCGAATAAATCATGCCTCAGATTAAACGTTTAAATCGTAGCTTTAATGCTTTCTGGTGAGCCATTTAAGTCAAAGATTGCGGCTGCCGGAACTTCATGAAAAAAGAACCGAAGTGTGTGCGTCCCATTTGGTGTTCAGGTGCCTTTTACACCCAAGACGTTTCTGAAGTGGCCTCTTAAGTATAATCTGTCAGGGATAACATTGACAGCTAGCTAATTTGCAACTTGGTTTGTAACAGAGAAGTGTAGATGACTAGGAAAACACCACTATGGGACGTTATTACCTATTCTTATCTAACGGAGTCCACTCAATCATTAACTAGCATGATGAATGCTCACACCGATACTTGCTGAAGGCAATTACACTTATCAAATCTTCCCAGTTGGATAGATAGCGCATTAATTACTTGTAGGAAATCTGAAATGGGTCTAGATAGTAGCTTCTACTTCGATAAACAAACATATTCCGTCCGGTACTTCAATACATAATCGTGTTAGTCACGTGGAAAGATGAAAGCAATTGGCAAACATGTATGACATCCGCCATCCCTTCCTAACTGATTGCTAAAATACTGAGTTATAACTTGATGTGCGTAGTTCAGTTTAGTTCTGCCAGGCACGAGAAAGAGCCGCCTAATTCAAGTAGTAATCTGTCGCAATTGCAGCTGACTTCGTATCTATTTAGAATAGCCATAACAATGCGGAAATAGGACAGAATCGTCAAATTTCTGGCTTATTTAGACAAATTCTTCTACACAGCTATTGAAAGAATAAACACTTCGTGTTACCTGGCTTTTCGAAGAGTCAGATACGGTTCTTAATACACAAGGATGGCTTTGTCGACGACGGAGTGAGCTCATTATCACAGCTATGACTGCGAATGAACTGTGAAGCTGACACTGCTGGTTTCGTGATCAATTAGAAGGCAATTTAAAAGGTGCTTAATCCAATTGAGAATCGATCGTACGAGCTTAATCGTCTTGGTCACTCATTTAAGTTGTAATTTATCCATGTTCGCTCAAGAATAGTGCACGTTGCTCCAAGCAATGAAGAATCCAATATAACTCTTAGTAAACAGCGCCCAGTAATTGGGAGAAATGATACCGCCGGCAACCGTATCGAATCAATCATTCACTGAACTAAAATCCATATGGGGTAACAGTGGAATTCAGTGATGGAATACCTCCTGTCAAAATAGCATTTTATTGGCCCTCGTGACAAGTGGCAAAGTACGTAAAGTTTACTTATGGTGCGGTACCGTTTGTTTTGCAATCGACGCAAGGTTTGTCAGGTTTTTAAGACAGCAGGCACGAGGGTTATTATCAAGGAAAGGCCGCCACCTGCGGACATCGAACAATTCAATCCCATGATTATTTTGTTATGCCACGAGATCTTGACCCCCTTTTGTTTTACGACGCTAAAAATTATTTGCGGAAAGTGTAAAATTACGGTAGAGGATTCAGAAAGGTGTACAACTGCTATTGTCCGAGTGGTCCATAAATACGAGATACTGAAATTATATAACAGAATAAATTTCTTCTTCGGTTCAGGTCAATTTTTTTTCGATATAAATTTGCTAGCAGTGCTGCTCCTCTTAACTTCTACCATAATATATTTCATCGTAAACAGGCTCACAACGGGGCTAGCTCTTTATCGTATTACAGGAATTCGCAGTAATTGAAAAACCCAGTTGAAAGAATTTGTTAGCCGGCAATGTTCCATTAACGTGACTAACTTGAGTCTTTCCCATACAAGGCTACTGAACGATCAAACAAGACAATTTTTGTTTCCAAATCGTCATGACAAATGTAAACAAATGGGAAAAGTTGATCAAATTATTGACTGTTTCAAGCTGACAGTTTCGCTGTTGAATAGATTATTATAACTCGCCGGGAGCTTATTTTGGTGATAGCAATAAAAGGTCTATTTTTTAAATGAATGCTAATGTGTTTCGAGTAAAGAGGTTGAGGGATTAATAAATATATGTAAATAGATAATCTCTTATGTTTTATTCCACCAAGCATCTGAGCAAAGGTGGAATTTTCATACATCGAAATTGGCTTATTACTGTTATTCGACAACCGTAAACGTTGTGGTAAAATTACTCCATCAACCCTATTCCTATTTTCGTGACTGCTTTGATTTGACTCTTAAGACTGATTTGCAATTATATGTCTTTGTTTAATCTCAGCCTTAAAGATGCCAAACCAACGATGACGAATTTGTCTAAAATCAAAGGACCCGTCTAAGCATACATGACTGGTTTGTTACGCAATTTGCGCCACAGAGAGAAACATGTTAAGCCTTTTTAAAAATGCAAACAACCTCATTGTAAGAGCAATCTGTCATGAAAATAATAAACACTTCCAATTTAGAGCTTGTTATGTCTATTATCACTGTCACTGATATCACCTTCGAGATAATATCCGCCAGCATCGATTGGCGTTTTGACCTACTAGTTTCTAGGCAAGAGAATGTTGTTCAATCGAAACAAATATAAATATGTAGATTTATAGACTCTTCTCACCATGGCGGTCCACTCATACGGAGTGTCATCTCTCGTCTCGCTGTCACTGCTCGACTCTCTGGCTCTATCCTCCGTGGTGAATTCCTTGGGGTGGCTGTCTTGAGAAGAAGGACTCTCAGAACGCGAGCTTCGCGCCTGTAAAGGAAGAAAACATGACAGGACATACCGAGAGACGCCACTCTTAAGACTGCTACTCCTACTGGCTACCAACTCGATCCCGTGTTCTTATAAACTGATTAAAGTCACCCACGCTTATGAGTACAAACCTGTTGATTTGTGGCGAGGTGTAGCATTAAGAGCCGGTTACGACTACACGCAAACAATATTCAACGATTTCAACATGATACCCTGGCCCAGACAAAAGTAGGAGGTCGGTTGTATACGTAATTGACAATGACATATTTACGTCGCGTGCAAATGATGCATGACAAAGAGATATGAATCATCGTTTTAAAATTAGCAAAATGAGCCGAAAATGACAGAGAGTTAAATCCTTAGGGCTAAATCTCTCTGAAGGTAATCAAATGGTAAAGAAAGATAAAAATGACCTTTTTTGAAGCTGGGTTACTATATTTTCGTCCTCGGAATACCGCGTCGTGCATGCATGTACCATCAGTTACCGCAATCATTCCGGTGAAAGAAGCGGCGATTCTAAAAAACAGCATCTGGATTGAAATTTAAATACTTGCTAATAAAATGACAATTCTGGATATAAAATGTTCAATTTGAGGGGCACCAGGAACATGGAACATTCCGGAACATCCCGGAACATCAAAAAGTTATAATAATCACGAGGAAGATGTCTAAAATTAAATTTAAAAAAATAACCCCAAAAAGAGAAATATGAAAAATAAATAAACTGTTGTTCCCTGCCCAATATAAATGCCCCTTCATGTTCATGTTTACAGGCAATAAAGTGCGATAAGTTGTCGTTCAGCGTATTTTAAATCATGGTTTGAGTGGGAGAAAATGAGCCTTTCCTTTTCTTTAAATTGCCTCTTAAACAGGATCTGAAGGTTTGCTATGCACGTAAATTTATGGTGTAGAGCTGTCGTAAAACAACCAAATTCCGTCTGGCAAGTCAATAAATCATCAGTACTCGAGTAGTTCGAATTAATTTATAGTCAAGAATTATAATGCCGTGTAAAACCATGGAAAATCGTGTTTACGCTTGTCTTTGATGCAATAAATTGAATAAAGAAATCAGAAACGTATGTAGACTGTTTACAGTCCCATATTTTTCGTCTACTTGAAGAGTTTGAACGCCACTATCTTGGTTTTCTATGAATGAAAGAAATATGGGAAGAGTACAGAAGCCCCTTCCCCGGGGACAGAAACTCTCCCCAGTTTTCCCTCGTCATGAGCAAAACAACAGCGACAAAACAACATGGTAGTAATTGACCTTAACCACGCCGTAACATAAGGGACAGTGACGTGATTTAACTGACGGTGAACAACTGGCAGGAATGGATTAGTGGGGATACATAGCTTGGGCATTTCCTCCCGACATCGCTACTTAAAAGGTTGTTAGAGTTGCAAGCCTTCACTCATCGGCAGTCATTTGTATTTTTTCCTTTTTCTTTTTGCAAATTCGGAGCTGAAACCAGTTAATTTGTATTTACTTTTTATCACTTATTTGTCTTTCTAGGTTATTTCTTTGTCTAATTTTACATATTTTTCTCACAATTATTTTACTTTTTTAATGTTCCGGGATGTTCTGGAATGTTCCATGTTCCTTGTTTTATCGACCACCCATTATGTGGCGACTGGAAACGAAACCCACATGCAGTAGGCGTGCCAAAAGAAAGATCAGCTTCCTCGATAAGAATTACGCATTTCCAGTATGAAATTAGTGTCATTCTTTTTGTTAGTGGATTATTGGTAAAACGCCATAAAAGGTAGTAAGCCAGTTATGATGCCCTGCGTGGCAGAGATTTCCTGCGTTTTCGAATTCTTAACGGTGAGAGAAGAGAGGAAACCTCTGCTCGCAAAGTAACCGTTCGATGGTTTGATCAGCCGCCGTCCACAACCAGAGACGAATAAATTCAAAATACTCTTTTTTGACAAGTTTTAACCAGCTTATAACCTACGCGTGACAGATAGGGTTCAAAACGCTGTCCGTTTACGAGACTGCTGACAATACCAGCCGACAATATCTTATGACGAAGCCTTCAGGTTTATTAAAATCTATTGTTTCCCTAATTTACTTTATTATTTCATTTTTTTTAAATGGACATACAAAAAATGAACAAATAAGTTGTATTAAAGAAAACGGAAAAGAATATGCAGATAACATTGAAAATGTGAACGATTTGTCGGAAAAGCCCCTTTTAACCAAAAATCATTTTGAATGGTGATAGAATTGGACAACCTTTATCTTTTACCACAGCGATTGCTGCAAACTTTTCGAAGAAACAAGTTTTAGAATAACGTCTTGTTGCACTTTAGAACTAAAGTACTATAAAACAGCAATTAGCTGAAATTATTCATATACAGGCATACCAATTAACATATATTATAACAACAGATTGATAACAGTACGTTAATTAGTTATCCCACTTTTCAATTATGTCATTTGACGACCTTTATCTGTTCCGAGAACATCACTGCAGGTACAAAAGTGTTACAGCGGTTGTACCAAAATCGGAACGATAACGTTTTAACGATAGCTGTAGGAGCTTTGAAAGTCTCTGAGACCACACAATACCATAAAATGAGATGTAAGAGACTGTCGTCTGACACAACCAAAAAAAAACCACGCTAGAAGATAACCAAAAAAGACTGAGTAGTGTCCATGCGTATTGTATTCTCCTTTTTTATTTTTTTATTTTTTATTTTTACTAAACTGTAAGTGATCTAGAAGTAAGTCCCACACAATAAACCAAGTTTGCTTTGACACCAATTTCATTGTGAAGCGTAGCTTTTACTTAAGGTAATGAATAAAAGACAAAAGTTTTTAATTTTAGTCGCTTCAAACCAATCCTTGGCCCCCCACTGCGATATAAAGACCGCTGGCAAAACAATACAATGCTGTACAAAACACAATGAAAAGACATTTTGCGTTTCAATATCCGATAATTGTCTGCGTTCTGACCACTACCAAATGGGAGTATCCGGCAGACTATAGCTACCGATCTTAAAGTGCCTATGAAGTAAAAAATAATTCCTGC